GGTATCGGGAATCGTGCAACAGCTCTAGTAATTGCATCAATAAAAACTCTTGAGTCATTTGTCGTTCCCTCCCAACCCGCGTAAACGAAAGTAAATAGCATATCAAATGAGCAAGCACACATAACATTTTGTGTCACTATAGACTTTCTTCCTCTGTAAGGAGTTTGTTTGCTGGCAGGTGCAAAAGCACTTATATGTGTTCCATCAATTGCTCCAATGCAATTCTTAAACCAAGGATAGTATTTAGGATTATGAAGTATATGAGAAAGCACATCATTGCTTTGTGGTGAACGTATGAGGAATTTCCCAAGGCGACATATTGCTCTCAATACCTACTTAAAATGTCTAGAAACTGTTTTGCCAGAATGTTGAAATCGTTCAGCTACCACTGCATGACGAATATTATGTCCTATAATGAACAGAAACATTACCACCGACTCCTCGATTGAAATTGTATATGTGTCTTCCAACAATTTATGTTCTCTCAATATTCAACATAATTTCAGAAAGACTTTTCTATCCATTCGTAATAAATTAAAACATCGACCGGCATGGTCATTCAACAATTCCTGAACATACTCATGACCTGTTAACCCTGAAGTTCTCTTTGGTACCTTGGATTTAAATGAATCTTCATTCTCCTGCATCAAATTCAAATACATGCAATCTACAAGGTCATCAAAATCTTCATCTGAATCATTAGACAATGAAGACGATGTGTCACTCCAATCTATGTCCATCTTGATTTTCCAAAAACCTAGACAAAACAAAGTTGATGTGCTATAATTAAACTAAAAAATTGAAGAACAGTTTTTTTTAACTCCCAAAATATTAAATTGTTTTTTGTAAACCCTTTTTCAGCAATGAAAGGAGTCAATATAACTTAGAAGCTAATGACACCCTCTTGAGTATATCTTTATTCAGTTAAAATACAAGTGATAGAGTAGAATCTTTAAATAAAATAATCTGTTAGTAACTTAGTATTATATGATTCACGGTCCTTTCACAAAGTAACAGAAATTGCAATGTCAAAGAAGAAAACCTTTTGTGTTATAGCTCTCCGCAGCTAGAATGAGCATTTAGGTTTTTTTTTTTTTTTTTTTTTAAATAAGTATTAGGTCTGTTTTAAATATGGACATTGAAGTAAAGTAATCCACTGCCTGTTCTTGGTGGAGGACAATTACGAAATAATCTTGTGTCCTTATTTGGTTGAGGATTAATATTAAAGGATTGGATTCACGTGAGATGAATGAGGTTTGCAGCACAAAGACCTTCTTACTGCAGGTTCAATGAGTCCAATGACAGGGACCTTTGAGAATTCCAAGTCTTTACTTGGATAAAAAAAAATATAAAAAAAAAAACTCAACCCATAGTTTAGATGCCGGTATTTAGCCCCTTGTTTGTGTTATTATGATAATTCCATCTCTTCAATTGGAAGAACATTCACATTTAGGGCAATATACTCTTACTTGTACTTTGTCTTTATTTATTTATTTATTATTCTCCAGTTTTTTTTTTTTTTTTTAGATTCAACATTAGTCTACCAAAGGTAACATGTCTGTTCTTTTTGGTGGAACATTAATAAAATATTTTGTGGGGTTCTGTTTCTTTGCTTTGATGCAGCACAACAACTGAAGTAACAGAGAGGATCTAACAAGCACTCAAAATCCCAAGAAAATCTAACAAGCACTCAAAATCATCATCAAAAAATAAAAAGAGACTATACCCAGATCAGATGATAGAAATTAATTTCTAAAGATATTAAAACTGTGTGGAAAGCACAAAGAACAAATTTAAATTCTATAGAATATCCAACTCAAATTGTTCATGCTTTTCACATTTGTAAACATGCACATTCATATAAATATAAATAAACAGGTCACAAATTTAGATGTGATCGTGTGAGCATCAAAAGCTTGAAAAAGGAAACAGAAGTTATACCGGAGGAAGCAAACGATCTCCTCGATCTGCAATCCAAGTTGATGCGATTTGGGAGCTTAATCGACCCAGCGCGTTCGAAAATGAAAGAGCATTGTCGGAAAGTCCTGATTTCTCTGCAACTCCGGCAGATTTGAAGGCGACGGCGGCCGATCCTGCAACTGAAGCAGCCATGAGATTCCCAGCACGGATTGAAGAGAGAGAGAAAACGATTGTGAGAGAAATCGAAAAAAATTCTAACAATTGATAAGATCATAAACGATTGTGACAAAAATCGCAGATCTTGTATGGATTAAAGAAATTTGAGGGCTAGAAAGTTCTACCTGAACAGAGAGACGATTGTGAGGAAAGAAGTGCAGATCTGGCTTGAAGAAATCTGAGAGATGGCTCTTAAAAGAGGAGGAGAATCTGGAAAAAGATGACCAAAATATGAGGGTTGGAAATCTGATGTGAGAAAACTTTTGTTATTGTTAAAGAAAGAGAGAGCTGTAGAGGTTGCGCAGAGATATATGTGGACGGTGTTATAAACGAGCAAGAGTTTTACGCAGTTTTGTCCGTACTTTTAAGTAGCCCGTTCAGTTCTCCGTGTTTTCAATTTTGCATCTCAGTCTTCCCAAAACTCTGAAAACAACAAATTGTTGTTCTCTGAAAACCTCAACTTTGTTATCCCAGTTTTCATAAAACTGTTTTTATAAAACAGATCCAAGCAGACCTTTTTTGCAGTTTTCAAAATTTTGATACTATAAAAACAGAAAACAGTTTTCATAAATCCATTCCAAGCAGGGAGGTGTTTTGGGAGTTTTGAAAATAAGAGTTGGAAATTTGGAAAGCACGGAGAACAACATAGGCTACTTAAAAAAGTACGAACAATGCGTTAAATGCTATCGTTTGTAACGTTTCTCTCACAGCCACACACTACACATTCTCACTCTTTCTTTTAACAGTTGCAGATTTCTGAGTCACCATGATCGATCTCTCCGTGCCTTGCATTTCTTCCCTAAACCAAGATCCTCCAAAACCCAAACCCCAATTCATGCTTCAGATCAACTAGCAGTGGAATAAAAGGGAACCCTAGAAGAAGATCAACGACAAATCAATCTAGAAAATTTAAGGAAGGTGAAGATGAAGGATGAGGAGAAAGTGGGTTTTGCTTGTTCATGAAAGGATGTGGATGCAGAGACACCTTACTTGGAAAAAATGCGTCTAAGAATTAAGCCGAGAAGAACAAAGAAGACATTGTCGAGAAGTGTTTTGAGGCTGCTGCATCGACAGTCGTTGTCAGCTCAATTCGAGCATAATTCAACTGAGAAGGGTTCGGAATAGCGAATTTCTGAGGCTCTTAATTAATTTTGTAGTTTTGCTTTTGATGATGATTTGGGGGGGAGGAGGAGTTTATTGAGCTTTTGTTAGGAAGATCTATACTAACAAAATGGGTCTTTAGAGGTGAATTAGAGGTGAATACGAAATCCTTGCCATGGCATTGATTTTTTTGGCTGAATGAATGATTGAAGTTTGAGGGTCTCTCTGTTTTTATTTATTTATTTTATTTTAAATCCTCTATTGGTAGTGTAGAAAGAAGCTTTGTGACTATGTAGATGAATAGATGAATTGAGATAATGAATATGAAACATTTTTTTGGGGTATGGAATTGACAATTGCTTTGATGAGGTCTGCATTTGGAAACATTTTTCATCTTTGAGTTTAAATGTTTAAAGCTATTAATATTAACGAGCAATGCTAATAACAAGTGTCTACATCCAAATCTACATTGATGGGTTCATGTTTGACCAACTAAACCTTATCTATTTTCAAGAAGTCCACGGATCACACTCAAAATTAGAGAAATGTTTCGAATTTCTAATTATAACTGCTTGGCCTAATCATACACCATATAGTCTAAATTATTTGGATGTATGTATTCAAATGAGATGTTTGTCTATAGTATATATTATTGGTACTTATGATAGTTGACAACTTTTCATGTAATTGGATCTTTTTCTTTTTCTTTTTTTCATGATTTTGTAATTAATTTTGTGTAAAATGTGTTGATTAATTTAGAAAATTATTTTCAAATACAACCAAGCAAATTTATTAGTTTTTGTTCTCCTGAAACTATTTTTGTAATTTTTTCAACCAAGCAGATTTTCAACCTGAAAAAATTGAAAACGATTTTCTATTTTGATTCTCTGAAAATTGTTTTCGCATTTGCAATCCAAGCAAGGCCTAATAACTGAATTTTAAGTGTTGAAGTTTTTAAGTGACAATTAAAAATTATATATAATTATATATATATATATTAATTTTAAGCATTGATAAGTGATGTCTCTGCTTTTTAAATTTTTACCTTGTTTTAAGTGATGTTTACCATTTTTTAGTGAAATTCAAATTGTGTTATTAAACACATTTAATTGGATAAACGCTTAATTCATTCAGAATTAAGCTGAATTAATGAATTAAGCGCTAAATTAAATAATCAAATACCTAAATAGCCAAATAAGTACAGTGATCAAATCTCTATAGGGATTTGTGGGTGTTTAACTTCGTGCTGATACTGAAAAAAAAAAAAAAAAAAAAAAAAAAAAAATTCATTGCTATAAGAAACTTGTTCAATTTATTTATTACCATTAAATATCATTAGAGTGAAGGGACAAAAGTTGACCCCTCTCTCTATGAATTTTGGTGCTCATTGAATCATTGGCATCAAGAAAAACAGGTACATATGATATGATTAAAGTTTTTAGAATTTTTTATATTTGTTGTAATTAGTTGTTTGTTGGTCCTATCATCAAATAAAATGGATCAATTCTATATACGAGCATCTCCAATGATTGCCATTAATATCCCCTGTAAGTCTGTAACATCAGTCGTTACTGCACTTAGTAGGAGGTTTCCACCGTAGAAGTAATCCTTTTATCTACTATAAGTATATATGATTTAATTTTCCTTATTTATTTAATTTTTTATATCAGTATATAATATCGCAATGCCACACCCAACATGCCTTCGCACACTATTTTCGAACACTCTCTAAGTCTCAAACCCTGACAAAGCAAGCGGTGAATATGAAAGGGAAGAAGAGAAGCCATCAATTCATTGAAGCCGACGATTTGATCGCCGACTTCCTCTCCCGACTTCCAGTGCAGACTCTGCTACGGTTCAGGCGCGTTTCGAAACAATGGTGTGCCATAATTGATTCCCCTAATTTCATCAAATCGTAAATCAATCGATCACTCAAAACCAACACTAACCGTAGCTTGATTTGTAGAAATTACTACCTGTATTCTGTAGGGTTCGATTCGATTGATGAGGTCCTGAAACTCGGTACAATTTTCTACTTGGTTGACAAAGTAAAACTTGAACCTAACCCACCTTTTAAATCAAAGCGTCCATGGCTAGTTGGTTCTTGCAATGGATTGATCTGTGTACGTGGCGAAAATGAAGCCATCATGTTGTTGAACCCATTTACGAAGAAACATCTAATTTTACCTAGTGTGTCAACTTTGAATCTTTACAATCACAATGTACATTATGGAATAGGATACGATCCTGTTAATGATGATTACAAGATTGTAAGGGTGATCCGGGGATATGAATCCTTTTATAACCAGGATCACTACCACTCTGATGTTTGGGTTTATAGTTTGAGATTGAATTTGTGGAGAATGGTTCATGATAATTTCCCTTATGAACTTAGACATCGCTATACTGGTGTGCTTGTTAATGGTGCTTTGCATTGGCTAGCTGGTCACCAGGACAATAACATTGTGCTCAAGTGCTTGGTGGATGAAATTATTGTTTCTTTTGATCCCGTGGCTGAGAAATACTGGATGCTGCAATTCCCCCCATTTCGGATTTTGGGTGCATGACCTTGGGGGAATTGGGTGGATGCCTGTGCTTGTTTTGCATTTGTAAGATTGGCCTTAGATATGACCGCGTTGAATTATGGGTCATGAAGGATTACAAAGTGCAAGCGTCATGGACCAGACTGTTTAAAGCTGATTGGGGACAAATTTATCGAAACATTTCTTACTATTACATCAGAATTTTAACTTATTTTAAGAATTCCAATGAAGTACTCCGACAAATCAACGACACGATTTGGTGGTTTGACGTGAGAGAGCACAGAGAAGTGGATATTGGTCTTTCTTCATTTGAAGCAGAGATTTGTGTCGCAAGCCTTGTTAAGCTGACAGGGTGATTGAGGAATCAGTAATTTGTAATTGTTATTATTGTTTAGGAAGGTTTTTTTGGTCCCTTGAGCAAGGCAGTTGCATTCCTTTTTGGTCAACAATATTGCTGCATTTGACATGGATTTGATAAACAATATTGCTGCATTTGACATGGATTTGATATTCTCCTTGATTCTAAGTTTAGAAGGAAGTCTTCATAGTGTTTACTAGAGATATACCTTTATTTTGTACGTAACTGTGATTTCTAATTAATTTTTTTAGTTTTGTGCTAATGGCACTCTCAAAGGTGGAATCATAATGTCTTTTGTATACATGGGATGATAGGAAGTGTCTGTAGTTCAAGCATGAGAACAAGGGTTTGGGTACGACCGTACGAGTGCAAGCACTTGTGATAAATTATGCCAAATGTTCTGTCTACATCCAATCTACCACTTTTTTCATACCTCGTAATGGACCAGCACAAATTATGGGCTTTACTTACCATTTTTTTTTTTTCATAATTGGATGATGTATAAAAAAAAGGAAAAAATATATGTACAGGCGCACAGAGGGCATACCCTCAGTAAAAACTACTGGAAAAAACAAAAAGGAAAATATAAACCAGTTCCAGTAAATAATGACAAACAACTAAAGTGTAAACTAAATAACGTCTCTAAGCGTGACTTTATAAACATCAAATACTTCTAGCAAAGTTTTCCTAGCCACCTCCGAGGAAGAACTAGAATTGTGTCCATGTAATCTTCGATTTCTTTCTTGCCAAATGCTCCAAAGACCAGCAACAAGAATGGTATGAACCATTTTACTGGTCTGTAGAGAAAACCAAAGCAGCAGGTCTTCCACTGTATATATAGAACTTAAGTCCATAGCCCGGTCAAGTGAAATCTTCAACCAAATCCAAAAATTCATAGCAAAAGGGCATTGAATAAAAACATGATTTCTGGTATCAATCTGTTGAAGACAAATAGAGCATCTAGGAGCCAACTGCACACGCCTCTTCTGCAGATTATACATTGTGGGTAATCTATCTTGAAACAAAAAGACACCAAGGATTGACCAACGAGGTCTAGCCTTACCCCAACAAATCTTAGACCAGGTAACCTCTGGAAAGGTAGATCTACATCTCTTCCATGCTGTTTTGAACGTAAAAGTTCCTCCATCCCACAAGAATCTATCAGGTCTATTATGAATAGTCAATGTTTGCAGGTAGCTTTACTTACCATTCTTTTGTTAATTTCTTTTATAAATATCTGTGAGGATGGTGATTCCTTTTTGGTCAACAATATTGCTGCATTTGACATTGATTTGATATTTTCCTTGATTCTAAGTTTAGAAGAAAGTCTTCATAGTGTTTGCTAGAGATATACATTTATTTCATACATAACTGTGATTTCTAATTAATTTTTTTTTTAGTTTTGTGCTGATGGCACTCTCAAAGGTGGAATCATAATGTCTTTTGTATACATGGGATGATAGGAACTGTCTGTAGTTCTAATATATATATATAAGGTGTTTTTGCGCAAGCATGAGAACAAGGGTTTGGGTACGAGTGCAATCACTTGTGATAAATTTTGCTAAATGTTCTGTCTACATCCAATCTACCACTTTTTTCATATCTCGTGATGGACCAACACAAATTATGGGCTTTACTTACCATTCTTTTGTTAATTTCTTTTATAAATATCTGAAATTTCTATAGCTCTGTTTCGTTTCTTTGATTGTGTGAAGAAAGCATGTAGATATATTTTGTTTCAACTTTTACTCATGTGCTTTGAGTCCAATCTCCTAGATTATTTATCACAAGTCTATTTGATGTCCATCTTATTAGATCATTGATAAGCTGTGTAATGCTACTTTGTCATAGTTGTTCAATCATATGCTTTGAGGTTAATCTCTTGTCTATTTTTCCCTTGTTAATTTGAATCTCCATCACGGCAAATCATTTGATTAGGCATGTAAATTCTTCTATATCTTAGTTGTTTGTTTGTGTTGTCCTTTGTTGTTTTCACGCTTAAACAATGGATCTTACTTAAAGCTTGAATGGATAGACTGTTCTTTGATCATAAATAGTGTTTGTATTGCGCAACTCTCGGAACAAGTGGTTTTTAATTACAATGGAGTTGTGTGACACAATCACCATCCTCACAGATTGCATTACCATCGTTATATTGTTTTTCATGCAAAGCACATGAAAATTATAGTTTGTGAATGCTTAAAAGGTTGGATAAAGCTATTAGGGTCTTTCTATCAACGTCATCAGCCTGCATTTAAGTGACAGCCCTGGATAAGGCTGCTGGGACACTCTTCTTTACAGCATGCCATGTTTGCATATTATTGTTAAAAGTAGAGTTTGTATCTTGAGAAAAATAGACTCTGTATATCTTGAGAAAAGTCATCCAGCTAAATGAAGGAGTGTCTGGATTGAAGGTCAAAAACTCAAATTAAGTACTGGCACATGCTCTGGGCCATAGTTTTGGCACCAACATTTTAGGAGAATGATACTAGAAAATGCTTGACTTCTCTGTTCATGTCAGCTTGGATTATAGACTTTCTAAACTTGGGATTATGTTAAATTGTGGTGAAAAAAAAAAAAAAAATGTAGAATGTGGAATGCCAAGTAGAAGTCTATTTTATATTGGAATTTCTTCACTTGAAGCAGAAATTTGTTTCGCAAGCCTTGTTAAGCTGACAGGGTGATTGAGGATCAGTAATTAGTAATTGTTATTATGGTTTATGAAGGCTTTTTGGTCCCTTAACAAAGGCAGTTGCATTCCTTTCTGGTCAACAATATTGTTGCATTTGACATGGATCTGGTATTCTGCTTCATTCTTAGTTTAGAAGAAAGTCTTAATAGTGTTTGCTAGAGATATATTTACCTTTATTTCGTACATTACTGTGATTTCCAATTATTTTTTTTAAGTTTTGTGCTGATGGCACTCTCGAAGGTGGATTCATAATGTCTTTTGTATCCATAGGATGATAGGGAGTGTCTTTTCTGATCACCCATGAATATATATAGATATATAATGTATTTATGCTGTGTGTGTGTGTGTATATATATATATATAATGTATTTATGCTGTCAAGCATGAGAACAAGGGTTTGATGAGTATGAGTGCAATCACTTGTGGTAAATTATGCCAAATGTTCTGGCTACATCTAATCCACCACTTCTTGCATACCTTACGATGGGACCAACACAATTTATGGGCTTTAACGAAATAAATAAATAAATAAATTAAAAACACAATTTATGGGCTTTACTGAACATTGTTTTGTTAATTTTTAGGGTAAATTACACCTAGACCCCCTGTGGTTAGGTCATATTACACCTATATGAACATTTTGGTTTTAGATTTCACTTATATATGAATTAGTGATTTAGCATTTCACTTGCACCCCAAATATCAATTTAAGACTATACTACCCTTTGACCTCATATTAATTATATTTGTGACCAAACTACCCATCCCCCCTCTCTGTGACCCTTCCCTTCTCTCTCTCTCTACCCTCTTTTTCCCCTTTCTCTCTCCCTCCCGTCGGAATCAATTGGAGTCGGCGAAACCAAACTCAATTCGGATTACAGGCTTAGCGAAACCCAGTTCTTCTCCGGCGAAAAACGACAGAACTGAACTGACCCAGTTCCGACGAGATCCTAATGTCGGCGAAACAAAACTCAGTTCCAGCGAGCTCCAAGTAGCAAAACCCAGTTCATATCGGCGTGTTCCCAAGCGACGACAAAGCAAAGACAGGCATCTAGTCAGAGCAATCAGCTATGACGGCGTCGGATGTGGCTATGGGTTGTGGATCTGTGATGCGGCTGGCCGGCGGGTTTGGTATATGGTGTGGGTGATATATATATGTGTGTGTGATTTGGTGGAAAATGGGAAAGAAATCCTAAATTGAAGAAAGAAGACAAAGGTTCAACACCGCCAGAGGCTTCGACATCATCGCCGTCTTCTCCACTGTCGTCGCCGTTTGATTTGACAAATCGTCGTCATCGACGAATCGATCCCATCGTCTCTCCCGCCGCCATCGCGACCACCTCCACCACGACCTCTTTCACTGCCGCCGCGACTGTAGCTACCTCTCTCCACACAAACCCTCACACACAGATACGCGACTGTAGCACGAGATGAGGATTTTTGCCGCCGATTACGATGCCGTCGAGGCTGTAAGCATAATACGATGTGTCGCTGCCGAGATATATTGATTGGGCCACTATAGAGCTTGTAATCCGACACCTGCCGCCGACATCAACTCGCCTTCGATTCTTTGTCATCGACGTCCATTTCTGCAGTGGGTGGGATGGGATTTTGTGTATTTTTGGGTTTGGTTTTAGGGGGTGGTGGTGATGAGGTGTTGGGTGGGGGTGCAGTTTGGTTCTGGGTGGGTTGGTGGTGCAGGGAGGTGTTAAGGTGGGACGTTGGTGGAGCTGCCAGTGTTGAATATATATATATATATATATATACACACACACACACACACACATATAAGTGTTGAATATATATATATATATATATATATATATATATATATATATATATATGGGCTTTTTTGTCATTTAAGATTATATATATATATATTGTATTAAAAAATTGAGGGTAAAATGGTCTATTCATATGTATCAGAAGTCAAAAAGTAAATTGGGGTGTAAGTGAAAGTTAAAACCAAAATCT